ATAACTATTGATCAGGCGTGCATTTTAGCCCATTCCTCCTTACAGGACAGCTTCAGCTCAGAGTTATTGGTGGATTTCCTGGCACAAAATGCCTGCTTTGGGTCCTTTTACAACATTTCTACAGGATTAAGATCAGGACTTTGACTTGGCCATTCTAAAATATTAACTTTCCTCTGCTTTAACCATTATTTGGTCACATGATTTGTGTGTTTTGGGTCACTGTCTTGTTGCATGACCCACATTTTCTTGATCTTCAATTCCTGTTTAGATCCCCTGACTTTTTCCTATAGAATTTGCTGGTACAGTTCAGAAATAATACATCTGTTAATGATGACAAGCTGATCTGGTCCAGAGGCAGCAAAGCAAGCCCAAATCACAAAACTGCCATCACCATGTTTCATAGATGGGGCAAAGTTATTATGCTGGAATGCATTGTTTGCCTTTTGCCAAACATAACACTTTATATTCAAGCCAAAAGTTCTGTTTTGGTCTCATTCATCCACATTCTTTCAATAGCTTTCTGGCTTATTCACAGGGTCTTTTGTGAACTGTAGACTGGCAACAATATTCTTTCGGGAGAGCAATAGCTTTCTCCTTGCAACCTTGCCATGCACACCATTGTTGTTCACTGTTCTTCTGATGGTGGTCTCATGAACCCTGATATTTCCCAATGCAAGAGAGGCCTTTATTTTGTATACTGAAGTACAGATGTATATTTGCACTTCAGAATTCATCGCAATATTGTATGGCTCTGCTTGTTCTCTTTTTCTTGTTTCAATTGACTGAGTGTCAGGTAAGCAGCTTGGGGGCCAAGAGTCATGTAGAGTATAATTAAGTCTTGATTAAAGAGATTGTAAAACTTTGGGAATTGGTATGTAGGCACAAACCTGAATGTTGTTTAGATCAGGAGGCCATTGGACTATCTATGGGAACTGCTAGAGACTTTCTTTTAAAAGGGTGTTACTTAAGAGGACAGTAATTACACTATTTTTAATCAGCATTTATGTCAAATTGGTTAAACAACATATTAACAATTAGTGGAGATATGAACTACATATTTGTAACATTTCAGCCAATCGTTCCACATTGTCTAGCTGCTAAATTATCTAATATTTTCTTTTTTCCCTTCCAGCTAAGATCAGCTGGTGCACAGGTTTTAGAAGGATGCATAGCAGAAATTCATAACATTGCCAGCCTTGATATTTCAGACAATGGTAAGGCAGCATATTGACAGTGATTCAAATATTGTACAAAGAGAAAACTGTTTAAAGAATATGAATCATACAAAGTAATTGTATTGGCATCAAGCAAAATGGTTCTAGCTGATAAAAACTTTTGTTGTTTGCAAAATAGCTAAAGAGGTTATCAAAATGTAGGATAACAATAGTGTGCACTAGTGATGCACTAGTTTAATCTAAAATAATTACCATAAATCACAATGGATAGTTTTTAAGCAACATTACTCGGCTGCTCATGGGATAGTTTAGATACTATGTGTGTGGTGTTAAAATTGTCTATTTCCAAATAGTTAATATTTTATGATTAAACATACTATATAAATGCCTAGTGTAATCCTGTACATCTTAGAAAGAAATATTATAGGGGTTCAAATCTGTCATCCTGGATGAAGAATCTCACTGAAAACAACTGGACTCACATACAAGGAAGTTGTAGTTCAACAACTCAAAATGGCTTCCAACTCTCTTTATCTACTATGTATCACTGAACAACTTTAATGTTGGAAACAGGATCATATGATCTAATTTTAGTATGGTTAATTCAAATTCATTTGAAAAGGTTCTCCATGGAAACATTTTTTTAATTTTATATTTCAATCTAATTCTTAACAGGCCTTGAGTCTGATCTTTCAACACTTATAATCTGGCTTAGTAAAAATCGATCAATAAGACACTTGGCATTGGGCAAAAATTTTAACAACATGAAATCCAAGTAAGACTTTTATTTTTATTTTTTCATATATTTTTTTGAAAAATAAAAAATATAAGACAAGTAAGCAATTTTACTTTTTTTCTCTTGCTTGCTGCCTTCTTTAGAAATCTGTCTCCTGTACTTGATAATTTAGTACAGATGATTCAAGATGAAGATTCAGTAAGTATTTTTATTATTTAATGTCACCTAATAATCATAACATATCACTAAGTTTTATTAAGCTATCATAATATGTGAAAATATTGCTCATGTGAATTTACCATTTCAAATGTATATAAAATATAGGAAGTCAGTTGTTCTAAAAAGTATTCTAACATTTAAAATTTTAAGGGTCTATATTTCATTTTATATAGCATAACAGTCTTAACAGTCTTTAATAGAAAATAATGTTTAAATATTCCTATCCTGTCTTTTAATTTGCAACATCAACCAACACTCCCATTTTCTGGACTTGTTCATTTGTTGTCATTAACTAGTATTACTTGCCTGATCTGTGAGAAGAATTTTGTTGCTTGGTCCCTGATTGCTGATGATCAAAATACTTTGTCAGTCAAGATTTACTTTATAATAAAATCTGTCTCCCTCATTGCAAACTCAGGTAGGGGGTGTTGAGAGAAGATGGAGTGTTTAGTTTCATGGATTTTCAAAGCAAAGATAAAGAGATCTTTAGAAACTGAGAGTGTCCTTTGAACTGAAATAGTAATTATAGAAATGAAAATTTATTAATATAGGAATAGTTTATATGTTCTGTAACTGTTTCCTGATAAAATATATTGAATGAAAACAGTTTATTTTTTAATAAATGTGCATTGAAAAAGTTCCCCAAGTATTGAAGTGCCTGGAAATTATCACAACTAAAAACAACTAAAAATGGATACATTTATTTATGAAATGTATTTGCTACCCATCTCATATCCAATTATTCTGGGTGGCTTACGGCATACAAAACAGTAAGCATTAAAAACATTAAAATCATAGAATACAGTGGAAAAAAATCAATAACAAATAAAATCATTGACACCAGATGGCAAAGGAGGGAGCAAGACACATGGGTGGGATGGGAAAATGATTACAAAACAATAAAGGATAAAGGCACTTAAACACCACATTGTACAAATTTGTATTTTTTTATAATCTTCATGTTACTGTACAGTTTAGAGTTTCGTCATCTTCACATAACTGTACAGTGGAGAGTTTGAGGGATTTAATTTTGATTTTCTCTGATATAGATACTGTTTGGTACCCATCAACTATGACATACAGTCTTGAACAAACTAAAAGCTTATTATACATTAATGTGAACAATAATATGCAAATAGCTGTCTTGTGAAGAGCCTTTAAAGATTTGATATGAGAGGCAGTTTTATTATTATGTAGATGTAATCCAAACATTGTGGTGGAATCCATTCATTCTGAAATGCTACATTTTTCCTCAAGCCATGTGCTGCATCTATATTAGTGATATCCGTGTTCATTTGCTAATTTCTTTAAGCAGTAATATTCTTAACCCAAATAATATGTTTATTTTGATGTGTAGTATACTGATCTTGATTTTAGTTCTTCCCCAGAAACAGTCATTTTTAACCTCTAGCATTCTTCTCTAATGTATCAAATCAATATGATCAGAGAATATAGACAGGGCCCAAGCAAATACCTACTATGATTTACATTGAATTAATCTGTAGGTGACCAGAGTAACTAATCCTGTTGGGAAAAGAGAACTAGATAATGAAGAATACTATGATCTTTCAGGATAGCAAATGTGGATCAGTCAGCATTAATGTTCAGAAGCAGAGAAAACTTGTTAAAAGGATTGTAGAAAAAAGAGCACATATCTGGAGGATCTATGTAATATGGAAAAAAATCAAAACTGATCACATATACACTTTCCATAATGAGGGTGAAGCCTACATTTTCTACTGATATTTTTTTTAATGTTTAAATGTGCTTTGCCATATACAGTAAACACGTTCTGTTGAACTCATTGAAAAAGGAACCTCTTATTATTTTATTTTGGAAGCATCTCAGTTAAATTGCTACCATTCCCAAATACCATAGCAATCTGAAACTAATCCTTTCTAAATTATGTACAAAGAAGCACTTAGAGATTAGGCAAATGAATGTTGCCGTCATTTAAACTAAAATGTTTGCATTTCTGTACCAAGTATAGGCATTTCAATTACGCAGTTGCAGTCCAGTGGGTTTCTAATTTGCATAATGTTCCAAGTTAGTTTCTAATAACTCACTTAAAGGTTGTATGGAGACAGCAAGAGATAGTAATCTTTCTTTAAGCTATCAAATAACTGCAACAAATCTTGTTGTTGTTGTTTTTTAAAAAAAATAGGTTCCAATTCAGTTTTTATCATTATGGCACGTGCTGTTGGGGGAGAAAAAGGAACCCCTCTTAATTACTATTGCATTTTTCAGTATTTGCATTGGATTTTTAGACATTTGTTGTTATGCAATAAGTAGTGTGCCCTGCTAGATTTAGAACACATCTAGGCAACCAGTCTAATATGCTTTCCTTCAGTCCATGAAACATTATAAAATCTGTCAGCATAATGTGTTAATTTGCTTTGTCTTCATAGCTGGTTTCTATTCTACCTCTAATGAGGAAGTTAGTGGTATAATGTCTTAACAGATTAAGATGCAGTGATTACTAGATTTTTGTGCCAGTGGAAAAACACCTTTCAATTGCACAAGGGCTGGAGCTTCAGCTGGAGGAGGACACAGTTTTTTATAGACGCCTAAAGCAGTGGGTTTAGCCATGTGTCAGTACCTTTAAATATAAGTAATGTTCTTGCAATTTTGATGCAACCTGCCTGCCAAACATATATAGATAAAAAAGTGCATCAGGCAGGTCGCTTTAGAGAGCTACCCTGCATTTCTTGTAGGCAAGGTACAGCTTTATCAAGAGACCTTTATTCATTTGTCATATCTGCTAGGCAACAAATGCCCTCTTCACTCCCCATAGGATTTCAGAGAGCACGTTTGGTCTAGTAGTTAAGGCACTAGGCCACAAATCTGGAGTCTGTGGGTTCTAGTTCCGCCTTGGTGACTTGGGCCAGCCACTCTCTCTTAGCCCAACTCACCTCACAGGTTGTTGTGGGAAAAATAGGAAGAGAAAGGAGTTTTAAATATGTTCACCAGTTTTAGTTGTTTATAAAAATAATACACACACACACATATAAAAACAAAAGGTTATTGCCCTGAACATCAACCAGAGTTTCAGAAGTAGGTCACTACAGGATACAGCAATACTAGAAGAAACAATAGTCCAGGGCCTTTCTGAGGCAGCCTTTTTCTCAGGCCTCTGGCAACCATAATTTTAGACAAATCCTGGTCTACTTCTTTCTCTAGTGAGATACAGCTAAATGCTGCTCTGCCTTTCCTCCTATTACAATAAAACAAACTAAAATAGCCTTAGAAGAAAATAGGTAACTAGAGAAGAGAAGGCAGCCTGTAACTGGATAGATTCCACCCTTTTAGGCATCAGCTTGGTCACTGCCAAAACAATGGAAATTTTGCTAACAGCAATGTTTGTTTTGGAGAAAAAAGCAGACACTATTAGAACACCAGATTAGAAAAATAAAAGTTACAAGGTCTCAGCTATGACTTTGGTATAGGAGGAAGGCTGCAGCATATAAACATGTTTTTAAAAGAATGATTAATGAGTTATCTTCAGAGCTAAATAAAGAAGAATTATATTTTTTTCCTTTTGATTTGTGTTTGTTCATTCATTTATAAAGCTTGCAAATGAAACTTCTATTGTTGCAATCTTCTCATATTTGGGGATGAACAATGTAGTCATACAAGCTGCCTGTGAGATTAAGATTGCTAACTTCAAGGTTAAAGGTGATCTTAATTATTTTAAAAGTCCCATAACAATTTAAATGTGACACATTATGCCAAACATTTTGGGACAACACTGCAGTTCATTAGGTTAAACAGGTCTGTGTCTTATATGTGTTAAGATAATATAACACAATATTATAATGACCATTTTTTCTTGACCTTGTTCTGTATTTTATTCGTATATTATTTGTTGGACATTATTGGGGATTTCATGCACATCTGATTGGATTTTATTTTGAATTGATCTGAAATTTTGAAAAGAGATTTTAAAAAGTGATATTATCTGCTTATTTCCCAGCCTTTGCAGTCTCTCTCCCTAGCAGATTCTAAACTGAAAACAGAGATTACTATCATTATCAATGCATTGGGCAGCAATACATCTCTTACAAAAATTGATATTAGTGGAAATGCTATGGGTGACATGAGTGCAAAGATGCTTGCAAAGGCTCTTCAGATAAACACCAAACTCAGGTATTGAATATCTGTATTACCATAATTGCCATCATCATTACCACTATATATATAAAATCCTGTTTTTCTGCTTATATAGACTCTTAAGGCTTTCACAGCAATAAAATAACATATAAAACGGCAATGTGATCAATATAATTGATTTTTAAAAATGCATCATTTTAACTTGTAGTTAGTTCATATTTCATGAATCCAGATTCTTGTCAAAACCCCGTGCTTGTTTTCTAATTACTAGTTGAAACAGTGTACAGGATACTCCAATTTGGAAAAAATAAATTGTGATTTAGTGCTGAATAACTCCTTTCAGTTTCCATTCCGCCTTCCATTCAAAAGATCTACCCCAGATTGTTTTTGCATTCATGGTCTCATAATTCATGATCTCATAATTTTATTGTAGGAGAAGAAAAATCCTTAGTTAAGATAAATTTGAATAGACCAACATAGAAACGTTTTAAACCTGCCCATTTTTACTCCTCTGTTTTCCCATATATAAGAAAACAATGAATTAATGAATTATTTGTGCCTATCTTCTATAGCAATTAATTTAATTTTGGACACCATTGCCAATAATCATTTCAGCAGGTTTAGGTTTGGGGAATGAGTGATTAAAGGACTGCTTTCTCCTGTTTATGTGATTTCAATGCAGTATTTATCATGAGAAAAGATACTTGAGGTTCTCTGATCAAATGAAGCCATTCACATCTCTTCTAACTTCAGGAGTTTTTTAAGCTCTATAGCAAGCTTTTCCTATTGAGATACTTCAGGATCAAACTCTGTTTAATTTCAGAAGCCAATAATTTGTTTTGACATCTTTTTGGCTTGCAGAGATGTTTATAATGATAATAATCCTTGCTGGTTGTTATTACTTTTGGGGTTTTTTGTTGCTTCTTTACTTTAACTCAATAATACGCTTTTATTAGAAACGTATTATTTTGGTTTTTTATTGCAATATTTCCTCCCAACTCAGATATTGAAAATACCTGTGTAACATTAATGCATGTACAGTTGTTTTCAACATTTTCATCAGTCAATCCATAATTTCCATTTTCATACAGAACCGTTATATGGGACAAAAACAACATCACTGCTCAGGGATTCCAGGATATAGCCGTGGCACTGGAAAAGTAAGTTCTATGTGGCTCTCTGCTAGAATTCTCTCAAATGTGGATAGAGTAGTTTTGGACCCATGGTAATCCGTTTTATGAAATTGCCACCAAGAAGACCTTTTGCTGTCTTCGTCCTCCTGCTACTTATGAGGCACAGTCAACCTGGCTGTACACAAGGCACCTGCTGGCTGTACTGGACCTTCTTCCTGAGGCCACATATTCCCTTTTCCAAATGGTAAACAACCTTCTGATATGCTTCTGAACACTTCTGACACCTTCTGGAAGCTCACAAGAAGGTCATGCGCCATTTGGAGAAGCATGCATGCAGCCTCAGAAAAAAGGCCTGGCATAACCAGCAGCTGCCTCCCATCAAACCTGACTCATCAGCAGTAGGCGGAAGAAGACAGCGAAGGTTGGCTGGCGACAGCAGAGTTGGCAGAGCATAAAGCTGCTTGGACTTTGTGCTGTGTTGTTTAGGTAACTGGCCTCTACTTCAGCTGAGGGCCACCACCGCCTAGGAGTGCCACTGTGCAGGCTGGGCAAAAGGGTAGAAATAGGAGGAAGATAGATGAGCAGGAGGGAGTTCAAGAGGGTGCAGTCCCAGGCTCAGGGCTTGGAGGGATCAAACCAGGAGTGGCTTGGATCAGATGGGACCTTGCCTAATGACCAGTGGGGGATTCACTCAACTACAGCAGTGATGACTGACAGGATTGCTGCCATTTAGTGTTGCAGTCATATGACATCACATGTTACAACCACATTGCTTAGCAACAGATATTCTGGTACCAGTTTCTGTTATTAAAAATGTTACTTACTGATGCAGAACTACATGCATCAATAAATAACATTTTTAATCCTGAAGTAAATTTGCCAACCTATCACTCTTGTGTAATTAAAATTAAAGCCTAGTCCCAGTTTATTTATCAAAGCATTTAAGCTACAGAGGACAATGACCAACTTGGGGGGGGATAAATCAGTCTGACAACATACATCTTGTTGAGAGAAAAAGCTCATTAGCATCCTGTTTCAAATTTTGATCTTTTCCTTTGACCTGCCAAGATAAATAAAAACGGAGCTGAGAGTGAGTGACAGAAAGCGGAAATGTTGGTAGCTATGATTTTATGAAGATGTCAGCTCTAGTCATAATCTGTATTTTTCACTTCTAGTACCAGAGTCATTGCTGGAATTCATTTGTTTTATTAAAGTGCTAAACTGAGAAACTGTCGCTCACTATCTGAATACATGGCTGCCTTTCATAAAATATAGATTTAACTTTAATTAAAACATTTTCTTTATCATATATCCCAGCAAAATTATGTACATTCCTCATTATTCTGTCCTTAAAATAACAAACATTATCTGTAGAAATAACCTAACTCATTCTTAACAACAAATAAGAAACATAAACTATTTCATTTGTAATATCAAAATCACTGATACTGGGTTTTTAAAACTGCATTCTTCTTTCTTTTCTAGTGTAAAGAAAACAAAAGAGTGTTGCCATCTCATGCTAGTTACTTTATTCAATAAAGTATGATCTATTGATCATTATATTGCCAGAGCAAAATGCATCAAATATGTACTGAGAAATACACTTGAGTGCTATGATGGAAATGTTCAAAAAGCATTTTCCAAGAGTGTATTGATTGGGCAGCTAAGACTTCTATCAAGTCTTATTTAAACAAGGATGCATTTTCAAGTTAGGACTGCAAAAAAAACCTCAACTAGTCTAAACTGGTTTAATATAAAACCTTGCATTTTTTAAATGGGTGAATCATAGTTTTACATTACCTTCATCTTTAAGTATTTTTCAGAAATTTCACTTTCAGATTATAAAAGCCTAATGGCTTCAATTATATTTATTTTTTCTCAGGTTAAATAGTTTAGTGGTAAAACTGAAGCATATTTCAGTAGTACTACAGCAAGAGCCAGTATTGACTTTGGACTGGGAAAATTCAGGTTCAGGTCCCAAGTGAACCATGAACCCACTGGGTGACCTTAGGCCATTGCCTCTCAAGTCAATCTCAGAGAACTGTAATTCTGAACCTAAATTTAGGGGAGATTCTTGCCTGAAGTTTTCAGACAAAGGGCAGGTTATAAAGACACCTAAATGGAGTATTAATTTATGAGTTTATAACATTTCATTGTAACATTGATTCAGCTGTATTTTAATGTGACAGAAGATAAAACACAAGCTGATTATCATATGTATACATATACAGCAAAAGGATCAGAATACATACAAGAACATGCTAAATAGTTATTTCTTTTGTGCATCTAATCTTTTTGCTTACATTTTTTAAAAGGAATTATACCTTAAGATTCATGCCTATACCAGTGAATGATGCTTCGCAAGCACTGAAAACAAACCCTGAGAAAACAGAAGAGGCACTTCAAAAGGTACTTCCTACATTTATTGATATATGTCAAGTGCCCGGGAAATCAGGAGATTCCGCAGTTCGAAGGAGTATAAAGATTTATTGCAAGCTTAAGCTCTCTACAAGAATCTGACCAACTAACAGCTAAGGGAAATGAGTGGGAGATAAGAAAGGCATTCAAGGTGGGCTGGACTTAGATTTCTTGCGGGCACACAGACTTGTGACTTATGACATATTTGACCCTCCCTTGGGTTCAGCCTGATCATCTTACATATAAATTGAAGTGGATAAATAAAAACAAAGTTGTACTTTCATGGCTGCTGAAGCAAATTCTCCAATGGTCTTGTTGAAGTCCATACTCACCTGCATTCAGGAACAAATGAAGAATCAGCATGCTATGGAGATGTGTTTCTTCTAAATTAGGCATGGAAGGTGACAATAGAAGCAGTGACAAAATTATAAACATACGCCATATACCCTTTAGCGTTAAAATATTTATGTGCTAACAGAGACCAATAAAAAGGGGTTATTTGGAATTGCTTAGAATATGAGATATAACTTTTGTATGAGAAACAGTGTGACAGTAAACTATTCACTGAGGGTGTTTTGCTTTGATCTTGCTAAGTTCTCAGAAGATTCTAGCTTTAAGCTGATCACTCTATATTCTTTCTAGAAAATAGCTCCTTTGTTGCTGTTAGAATTAAATTTCGATAATCTGAAATCAGTCTTAAATAATATCAATTGCATTGATTTCAGTTAATATTATAAGATTTTCATAATATACCAAGAATTGAGTTTCAGTCCTAGAAGAAAAACCTAAGGCTGTAGTCCAATACTAATAATCTTGAAATCAGAATCATTGAATTCAATGGAATCTACTATTTATTATGCAAGCATATGATTTTTACGGTTAAGCACTATTTCTATATTAACATTCTTTTCTCACTTAGTTTTTTAAATCCAGGCTTGTATCTGACTTTAATTTCTGCTCTTAGATAGAAAATTATTTGCTTCGAAATCATGAGACCCGAAAATATCTACAAGAGCAAGCATACAGACTGCAGCAGGGCATAGTTACTAGCACAACACAGCAGGTATCATTTACTCTTTTATGACTAATAAAACTGTCAGTGGTTGGATTCAGAGGTACCCTTCCATTCACAGGAGAGGTTTGCATTTTGAGAAGGCATCCCATAAATAACATAGGATAAAGGCAATTCTTATAGATTTCCCCAGATAGCCTTCTCTGCTACTTCCCCCCCTCTGCCTGAAGACCCTCAACTCTATGGAAATGGGAGGAATCATGAGGGAATCGTGTTACATATTTCAAGAAATAGGCTCTGTGATGTTTCTCAGTAATGAATAACAAGAAATAGAAAGAAGTCAGAACCTCAGAAATGTGTGAACATATATTCTTTGGTTATATATTTGAATGTACAATCTCCCAAGCCTGTCTAAGAGATGTATTTATTGTTATTTTATCTGTTAACTTTATCTTTTTCTACATGTGTAAGTATCTCCTTTCCCATTTTATTCTTGTGTAGATGATAGACAGAATATGTGTAAAAGTACAAGATCATCTCAACTCTTTAAGAAACTGTGGAATTGAAACAATACAAGAGGATCTGAAATCAGCTGAAAGACTTATGAAGGATGCTAAGAATTCCAAAACAGTAAGAGATTGCAGATATTTATAATGCTGGGGTTACAATCCCATTAGAATAAATAATATTAATAAAACTTCTACTTTTAGAGTTGTCAGAATTTTAAAAAGTACATTAAATTTACGCTTCTTCAGTTAAGTCATGCTAGATATTAATAGTAGCTCTTGTATATATATATATATATTTACAGTTATTACCAAACCTGTATCATCTTGGTGGAGCTTCATGGGCAGGAGCAAGTGGTTCATTATCCAATCCGATTCAGGAGATCCTAGAATCTATGGCTGGGGAAGTTACAAGAGTTGTTGATGACCAGCTCAAGGTATTAAAGATTAAAAAATGTTATCCTAAAATGAAATGTGGGAAGCATTCTAAAGAAGAAGGGAACCAATTTAGTTCTCCTTTACCTGTCATGGGTAATCTATAGGCTGAATACAGATCATCATAACCTACTCTGCTGCTCTAAGGCCAGTCTCAGATTATACCACAAAAATTTGGTATTTACTTTGGGGGGGGGGAACTAAAGAGAACAAGATGTCTTAAGATTCTGGAAGGTTTAAGGCATCTATTTTTCTTCTTTAACCCTGCTCACCTCCCAATCTCCCACTCAAAAAAAAATCCCTTTAAAACATAGTTGTCCAAGTTTTTGGCTTATCTGGGACCCGTTGAGTAAAGAGAAATTGTCTTGGGCCATATATAAAATATAAAACATAGTTAATGTATATAAATCACATATGGATTTACATCCATTCATTTAGTGACCATTTGATGTTACAATGGCACTGCTGTTATGACTGTTTTTCATTCTTAACAACCATTGCAGCATCGTCATGGTCACATAATCAAAATTCAGACACTTGGCAACTGGCTTATATTTACGACAATTGCAGTGTCCCTTGCAGTGTCCCGGAATCGTGTGATAACCTTTTGTGACCTTCTGACAAGCAAAGTAAACAGGGAAGCCAGATTCACTTAACAAGCATGTTAAGAATTGCAGTGATTCACTTAACAACTATGGCAAGAAAGATCATAAAATGGGGTAAAACTCACTTAAACTACAGAAATTTTTGGGCTCAGTTGCAGTTGTAAGTCGAGGACTACCTGTAATGTTAAAAGTTTATAGTTAAAAGTTTATAATCTTGTGGGGCTGCATTACTAGCTGTCCAGGGCCAGATGTGGCCCATAAGCTGCAGGTTGGACATGCCTGCTTTAAAAGATAAATAATAAAAGCACATTTTTACTGCTTTAAATTATAAAAAAGGATAAAAATATTAGTCCCAACGGAATTATTACATAGTTGACCAAGCTTTATATTTTAAAGCAGTCAGTTCTAACGTGCAATGGACCTTCAAAGTGATGGCAATATGGTGAATTATAACTTCAAAGCACACCCAATTGAAAATTACCTATCCTTTGATGGTTTTATTACTCCCATAGAGATCTAAGCCCACAGATTGAAACTTTTACAATTTCCAGGAGTCTGGTGGGTTCTGCCTACCCATTCAAGATGGTTAAGCTGTGATGCCAGTTTTGGTTGTTCAAGGCATCCCAGGTGCTGGCAAGTATGCTGATCCTAGCTTATGGGCAATTTCTGTCATATCATAGGCAATTTGCCAACAATGCTATCTTGTCTTTCTTAATCAGGCCTTTAAGTACATATTTTTGAAGACTAAGACCTCATCTTGTTTGTCAGTTAGTCTACCATATCTGGCTCCTGATAAGCAGTTTTTCAATTTTGCCTCCTATTTTTAGAATAGTTTTTCTTCCTAACTTATAAATTTTCATAAAGATAAGTCACTCTTGTGAAGCAAATTGAGTATAAACTTAGTACTAAAGGATATTATTGAATTCTCTTAACAGTCTTTATAATTTGATTTGTAGTTCTGAATTTAAAACACTGCATGTGGTGTTATGAATGAGATGCTTATGTAGTTCCTATACTTTTTTTAAAAAAAAGTTTGCTTCCCATTACTTTCTGCTGCAGACACTGCTTGAGTCAATGGTAGATGCAGCTGAAAACCTCTGTCCAAGTGCAATGAAGAAAGCACATATAAGGCAGGACTTGATTGAGGCATGTACTGAAAAAATTTCCATTCCTCGGACTTTTGTTAAAAATGTTCTTTTGGAGCAGTCTGGAGTTGATATCCTTAATAAAATTAGGTAAGCCAAACTACTTCCTAAATTCATCTATGGACTGAGTGTATAATTTAATTTAATTTTTAAAGAAAACACTTCTCCCTGAAACAATTACCTTAGTATAACTATCCTAGACTTTAAAATCTGTTCCCATTTTTACTTTCAGGCAAGAAAAAGCATTTTTTCTGGCTTCAGCTTATAATTTTATTTTTGAATTATGATTTTTTTAAAAAATAAAATAAAATAGTGACTGTCATAAGAGGTGTGATAGTGAGATGATGATGGGCACAAGAAATGAGCAAAAAAAAAAGATATTTCCACTAAAACTGGATTCATGAGAGTTTAATTATAAACAACACTTGTTCCAATTATTAACAAGAAGTTGTTATAATTAATTCTGGGTAAATTGCATGTATTCGTATCATGTAGTCATAGTATAGCATTTTGTTCATTTTAATAATACTATTAAAACAAATAGATAACTGGGTATCTCCCCCCCCCCCCCCATTTAATAGTCTTGGAATTTCACCAAGAAAATGAAGTACTTAAGCTATTGCTGATGTAAATGCAAGTAATTCAGCTTAGGTTGTTGCTCATTATATAGTAAAATAATTTGCTATCATGAAATAATGAGTAATAATAATGAAGCAGTAAAAAATTTGTCCTGTACAAATAAATGGCTGTGAAAAAGAAGAATGAAATACATTTAGGATTTAATTCTTAATAGATTTAGATTTTGTAAGCTGTCTAGCTTCTGTTAGAGTTGGCAGCTGTAATAAGTTTAATGAAATAAATTAATTTTTAAAAATGTGAACACACCAGATTTATTAAAGTGGCTATAGCGTACGTTTTATCGGGTGCTATATTTTATATTCATTGATCACTCTTGTGTTTTAAACCTTAATGTCATTTGGTGAGAGATAATGCAACATTCTTTTTCTCTTCTCTAAGAATGATAATTATTTTTGAATTTTTTCTATGTTATTTGAATATTCTTATATGTATTTTTGGAGAACCAAGGATATCTAGCTAATGCATACATAATATAACCTGTAATATAAATTTTCTACTGTAAATTCATATTTTGCATTCTCATTTTCCATTTTTGCATAGTGAAGTAAAGCTGACAGTTGCTTCGTTTCTCTCAGATCGAATAGTAGATGAAATCCTTGATGCTCTGTCTCATTGTCATCATAAACTGGTAAGCATTTATAAAATCTCATATATTTAAGCTGATTTTACAGTTTAGTATGATTTGCTTGCTTCAGTGCATTCATCTAATTTAGTGTAACTAGAAAGATATAGATAGATCTATATCTTTCTATTTACACTGAATTAGATAACTACACTGAATGTAATAACATAGGAAGGACAATCCTGTGAAAATTCAGTTTATTTTGATGTCAAACTGAATGTTACTTTAATATTTCCTGAAAAATGTATTAGGTTACTGGCCAAAACTAAACATGGTCAAGTTTACATATTGGATTTCAGGAAAACTGATATTAATTAGTTAATAATTAGAGACAGTGTAATATTAATACACATGAAAAAGATCTCAGAATCCTAATTGATTGTAAGTGGTGCAAGAATTAACCATTATAGTATATATAAAAATACGTTAGTGCAATTTTAGGCTCCATTACTAGAAAAATGGTTTCTATGGAGTAATAGTTTTATACTTTTCATTTTGGATTACATACTTTAGAAAAGAGGAATATATATCCAACATGCAGGTAATAAGAAGATTGTTTGTACAAAAAACAAATATTAAGAAGTTGATAAATTACAGAAAAGTTTGAATTTAGAATATAAGCATTTTTAGGATATAAGCATATACCTGAACATTTGTAACATGGAACTGTTTTAAACTTATTTTCAGAAAACTAAGAAGATAGGATTGGATCTAATAGGTTTAAGTTACATAAGCCAGAGGGCCCCAACCTTTTGGGCATCAGGGACCGGTTCCGTGGAGAAGGGTTTTTCTACGGACCAGAGGGGGCGTGGTTTTGTTTGCCGCCTGCATCTTGCGGATGGGGCTTTGTTTGTTTATGCAGCCTGGTTGCTGACATGCTGTGGACCAGTACTGGTCCATGGACTGGGGGTTGGGGACTCTTGACATAAGCCCTGGGAGAAGCTTCTTATAAGAACAATTTAACAGTTATGGTTTATTGCAATTGTTCTACTTTGTTAGAGACCATTGAAATTGAACAGCCCTGCTTTGCAAATAACTCTAATTCTGAATTCCAAACCATCTAACAAGGTGTTGGATAAATGGTCTTCAAGCCCATCTCATCTTTGTAGCAGGTTAATTGTGCATCTAATTGGCTTGTGTTCATTGGAAACGTTTATTTAGAATTATTTATTATTGATATTTTTATTTTATAAAGAATGCTTTCACTATAACCTTTCCTCTAGGCTGATCATTTGACCAGGCGAGGTAAATCCTTGCCTCACCAAGAATCATTGGACATTGAGTTAGCCGAGGATAAATCTACTAAACGATCTGTCATTACAGTTGAGGAGCTAACTGAACTGGAACGTTTTGAAGACCTAGATACATGTATGGTAAGACATCTGTAATCTTTGACTAAATCTCTTAAACTTTCTAGCTCATTCAAACATCCACTTTTCATCACTGAAATATACAATAGCAATTATAAAAAATGATATAGATAGATTATAACATTTTTTTCACATTTACTTTCCTAAATGTTTATGATACTTTTTATTTGGTACGTTATCATCTATTATACATCTGAATGTTGACATATTAGTATTGCTTGCCTCTATAAGTCAGTCGATATTATTTTCAATACATGTTGATTTAAGTGGACTTATGACTTTTTGTGTATTTATAAAAGTTATCACCCAAATATTGGTAATTTGTTATTAGAAATCCTTATAAATCCTATTTTTCATTATTTTTTAATTCAGGCATACTGTATGTTCTTGCTCATAATACTAAATGAATTAAATTTTATGGATATTTCATCCTTGCTAGTAATTCACAGTTAAGAAGATGAACCTTAGATTTTGGAGCTCATTAGGGAACCTCCCCAAAAATTAATATTAAAAATAATTTTAATACACTAGGGAGTATTCATAAATATATGAGAAGAATAGTGTATTAATTTTAAATATAAATTGAATTAAATTTATCTTTAATCTTGGTCCTGCCATTTTTTTTATCCTGGCTTCACCCAGTTCTTGGAATGAACACCAGACAAATGAGGGCTTCAGCCTTTCATATTTTCCTACAGATATCTGCTATATTTTATAGAAATATATCATAATATAACTGTTAGCTGTTAAGGTGACATGAAATTCATTTGCAGTTTTTTGCACTAAATATTGCAAACTGAT